AGCACTGTACGCCAAGGGGTGAAAGTTTCACCGACTTCACCACACGTTGCATGGCCCACGTTAACTCGTTCGGCCTCTCTCGGCTTGAGACTGTCAAGAACGTGTTGTGTGGATATTTTGACGAAGATATGAAGCTCAAATATCCCACGAGAAAAGTGGCCGATTTCGGGGTCAGAGGTATAAAAACAAGTCCGACGCAGAAGAACACCGATGACTGCGGCGCCTACGTAATCTACTTCATGCGAAGAGTAGAAGACGCGCCAGCGACTGGAAAGGTGCGTTTACTCTCTGACATAGAAATAATCTGCATAGCTCCAAGGTCAGCTCGGTTAGTGCAGCAATGTTTAGGAAAAATTAAAGAAGCTGCTACCAAACCCATAGTAGTTAAGGCAGCAACAATACACACTTCATTGCCTTAACCTTCCCCAATTCGTCAAGGACTAATAGCCAGGTACGTCTCCACGCTCATCATCATGCTCTTTGGTCTGACCCAGGTCGTTTTCTCAGTACCATGGCCGGCGCCAGGTGTGTCGTCACCGTTGCACGGTGCTGGGTTATCGCCTTCTTCGTCATCACCGTAGGGGAAGACGTATCTGGCGTGCTTTTGTCGTGACCACCACTCCGGCGCTGCTCAAGCTGTTACGTGGAGGAAGTTCCGAGGAACCAGTCGCGGGGAGCAAATAACACCGAGATTGCATTCCGTGGTGTTTCACATAACAAGAGAGAGTAATCCATTAGCTATTGCGGCTTCTACCGCTATTAAAACTGCACGTCAACACACCATCTTCCGCGACATACCGGGATGAGCCAGTCCTGAAAGCTGTGGGCTGCGCTGTGTTTGTCCACTGTGGGTGTGGCGCTGTGGGTGTGGCTGCAAGAAATCGACCAGGCAGCCGATCATAGTACATGTACCACCTCTAGGGTACGGGTCAGAAGCAGGTCCTCTAGGTCCGATAGTATTTGGTATGGGAAGAAAATCCAGCGAGTCTCAAACCCCCATCTAAGTGCAAGGTCGAACTGCTCTCATTTGAGAAAATTGTCCAGGAACATAGGGCTGAACCAGAAACACCACAACCCAAAGTGGAAGTACCTCAGACAGGATTCTCAGACCCCGGCCAGCGCATTGACTCGGATATGTCTGAGACTAGTACTGATCTTCAAAGAGACGAATCAGAGACAGGCTCGACTGAGTCCCAGGATCATGGTAATGAACCGATCTCTCGTCTATTCGATAACTTCGCGCGTTGTTTGACAATGGAAGTAGCAGATATTGAGGAAGAAACCGGCGTATTATTTCATGAAGGGAGTGAACTGTTAAGCGACCTCAAAGATCAGTAGGGTGCTCTTCCAGAATTAAAGGACCTGAGCCCTGTTGTGGATTTAGACACTGCTAATATTGGAGAATCTGAAGAGACTACCCAAGAAATGGATAGCTATTTTGGAAAAGCATCATAAAATTCTTTTAGGAGACGGAGATGCAGTGCCTGCACTAGCGAGAGGCATTGCAAGTGCCGCACCATCATCTGCAGAAGGTATATGACTTGTTGAAGCAGCTGTCAGAGACCAAGCTGATCGAATACTCAGATTCTGCATGGACTTCTCCTATTGTCATTGTGATGAAAAGAATGAGGTGGACATCCGACTCTGTATTGACTATCTGTTAGTAAATCAGATGATCAAGCTCATGCACTACCCTCTACCTTTGATTGACGACTTATTGATTGGGTTTGAGAATGTAATGTAGTTTCTGAGTCTATACATGGCTAGTGGATACTGGGCTGTGCCTACGACACATAGAGCGCTACAAATCTCAGCTTTTGTGTGTCCTCTAGGTCACTTTCAGTGGAATAGGATGCCATTTGGACTCAAAAATGCGCCGTTGATTTACCAGCAAATATTAGACAACTGCCTTTGGGGTTTTGTGCGACTTCCTCCTGAAGAAGAGGCTAAGGTGGATCCAAAAGTCTTAGAATTCTTAGGGATCAAGGTTGAGAATAAAGTCGGAAGACAAGAATTGTCTCCCTTGACCGAAAATTTAACAGTGTTCCGGAGGAATATCCCCGCACCTGCTGAGCTCAGGCCTGTTATGGGACGAAGTTCCTTTATAGACGACATCGCGTATGGAGCAGAAACCTGGGATCCAACGGGTATTGATCTAGATCGGTAGTTCTATCGATTGCGATATTGGGGAATCTCTGTGAGTCTTCCGAAGAGCGAGTTTGGCAAAAGAACTATCTCTTATCTGCGACACGAAATTGGAGCTGAGGGAATTAGAGCTAAGCCTAAGATTGCAAAAGGTCTGAAGAATCTGCCATTCCCGACCACTCTCAAAGGTGTGCAATCGTTTCTGGGAAGCCTCAACTACTATCGCCGAGGAACTCTCAGTGGTCCCTGCTGTCCTGTATGAATTAACAGATGAACAGATCTGAACGGGTAGGGATCTGGAACCTGCAAAGGATGCTTTTGAAATTATCAAGCAAAAACTTGTTTCTACTCCGATACTGAGACATGCAGACCGCGGGAAACCATTCATTATCATCCTGCATGCAAACGCTTGGACGGTGAGTGCAGTACTAGGTCAGGAATATGAAGGAAAGATATACCCAGTTGGATTCACAGGCAGAATACTACATGATCAAGAATTGCGCTATCACCCGGCAGAGAAAGAAATAGTGGAATTACTCAGAGTTCTCAGAGTATTATACCCTATGTTGATGGGCAATGATACATTGAACGTGTATACGGGCTACTCGGTTCTGGGATGGTTATTCAAGTCTAAGTCCTTAGAAGGTCGCTGCGAGCAATGGGCAGCTAGGTTGGCGCCCCGGCCGCTCGAGGTGCACAAGATTCAGAATGTCGAGGATGGATTAGCGTCAATTCTAGGAGCTGGAATTACTCCACGCTACAAACTCGATCAAATCGCTGAGAATCGTATCGCGGAGAAAAACGAGTGGTTAGGGCGCCTCCTATTAGTCTCGAGATGTTATGAAAGTTGGCTCCTCAGCTTTGATGGTTCAGCTAGAACTTCAGATCGACAAGGGAGTTCCTGGTGTATTCTCCGGAAGTTACCTACCTGGGATGTGGTCGCAGCCCGGGGATTTCATTTTGAAGGTATCATGGTGGAAGAAGCTGAGTATCATTGCATGGTTGAGGGTTTGGAGATGGCGTTGGAGCGAGGGATCGGGTAATTAATCATCGTAGGCGATATCCGGATAGCTATTCAGCAAGCTCAGGGACTTATTCAATATCTAAGCCCTGGATTGCAGTTGTTGCTTGCTCAGCTAGAAATTCTGCGCAAAGAGTTCAAGTCTGTGCGGTTAGTGCATGTGAAACAGGAGTATAATGCAGCTGACTGGCAAAACGGCCCTGTCCCGGAATTCCGTGGAGATTGTGGATTCGATTGAGTTAGCTCAGTTGAAACAGATGAACAGAATACGCGAAAAATGGGTGAGGCAACGAGCTTTGGAAGGAACAGGGTCTGGGAATCAAGGCATGGAATCAGAAGAATTGGCACCCATAGAAACGCAAAAGGGAACGGAGCGTGTAAGCTTTTGTTTGTCATCCTCTGAACCTGTGTCAGTGGAAGTCACGGTTAGTCCGCTAGTGCCCTCTTCTCGAATCTTTGTGGCTGTAACAAAGTAGAACCAGAGCTCCACTATCAGGAATCCAGAAACTTCCGAAGAGTTGATGGAACAACTTGATTCTGGGACGTCTGAGAATACTATGAAGCCCAGAGAGTATCTGTCTGAAGGGACGACGCCTGCGGCGGCATAGTTAAACGCTGGCGACATATATATACTCATCAACAAACTGAACCCTGGATTTGTCGTCTCACTACATACTTGCGCGGAGATTTAGGAAAAACTCTCAGCCGCCGAATCGGAGAAGCTGCCAAGGTCGCCGACCAATTCGCACTAGTCTCTCGGAATGTGCTGTACTACCGAAATCGGTCGACGCCAACTAGGCCTAGGGACGCCGAAGGTAATCTGAGACTCGTGTCCCCAGGACACCCCTGAAGGATTTATTGCACCTATGTCATGAAGATTTCCAATGCGGTCATCAAGGGATTCACAGAATCCAAGAGCGTTTACGCCGAGAATTCTATTGGATCGGGATGTACGGGGATACTAAGCGTTTCGTGCAAAAATGTGAAGGCTGTGTCACTGCCAAGGGTGCACCACCGAATCTTAGATCATCACCTGGTAATATTCTCGAGGTGAAGTGTTATCTATGGATTTCATGACACATCTGCCGAAATCAGATCGAGGCAACATATTCTTGCTGTTGTTTTAGTGTGTATTCTCAGAGTTCATCATTTGTAAACCAATGCGTGATACTACCGCGCAAGAAGTCGCAGAAGCCTACATGGAGCGAGTATTTTAACAATTCGGTGCTAGTAACCTGGCCAGACATGACCGAGACCTCAAGTTTATGAGTGAAGTCTTCACACGATTCCGAGAGATGCTGGAAAGTAAACAGAGGGCGGCCTTAGCCTACAGACCTCAGCCTAATGGTCAGCAGGAACGGTCCGTATGGACAGTAACCCGAGCGATCCGAGCTTACGTGGAAGAATCAGATCAGAGTGACTGGGACGATCAAGTTGAGAAGTCGATGTGGGCCTTAAACACATCTTTCGATGCTACCCGTCTAGATACTCCGTTCTACTTAGTGGATGGGACCCCCAGTGCAATGCTGGGGAAAATACTCACTGGTTTTGACCAGAAGGCAGCGTACGAATGGCGAAGAAACACTCAACGTCAATATGAGTATGCCCAAGCTTTGGCCAAAGATCGTCAATCAGAAGTTAAGTCGAAACGATCTATGGTTCAGCCCCAGATCTAGAGGAATTGTCAGATAGATTCAAACAAGGTTTCCAAGTAGGAGATTCGGGATGGCTCTACTTGGCTCGAGTACAACCTGGATTGAGCAAGAAGCTCACAAGAATCCTTGATGTCTCGGATGATTTCCGTTGCAAACGCTAGATTGAAGGTACCACGTACAAGGTATACCCTTGGGTACATGCGAGTAGGCTCAAACCACGTGCCTTATTCCCAGACCGGCCTACCAAAGAGGTAGAAGTTTTAGAAGATGATGCATTTGAGGCAGCCTTACTACCAGAGGATGTTTCTGAACCTGATGAAGCTCAGAATGTTTACGAAGTGGAGGCAATCCAGGATGTACGATGAGTTAAGTGAACTCGTACTTCGTGGATAGTCCGAGAATATTGGTCAAATGGAAAGGATACACAGAATTGCAGTGGTTGCCAACTTCTCAGTAGAATTGTGGAGATTTGCTTTATAATTTCAACAAGAGGGCAGGGCACAAGAAGGTTTCGTGCAATGCAGCGTGGGGGAACCCCTGTAGAGCACTAGCTCACAGGAATATTCAGACCAAACGAACTGTGCGTGTGAACATGTATGAAGTCAACTGTGTATATGTATTCTTTATCTTTTCAAGTTGGAAATGGAAGTGGTGTATGGTGGAAATCGGTGAATTTTGATAACCAGAGGTTATGATCTGTGAAAAAACTATCTGCGTTTCGGTTGAGGTTGTGAGTGAACGTGTTAGTAGTTGGCTCAAACTAACTTATGATTAGAAGTGACGACAGACTTGTGGAAAACAAAGGAAAATGGAAAATCTCATTATGAGGAGTTAAGCAGCACACTCACCACCTTGGCATGCAACTAGAGACTACAAGTACTGGTTGGCAGAGGGAGTAGATGGTTGTGATGCTTGATCCGGCGGTGACGAATCTTCTGCGGAGCAATGCCAAAGTAGCAGTCATCAGAGGTGCGAGCGGTCCACTGCGTCCTAGCAGGCTCCATGCGATCGATGTCTCGCAACTGTTGCTCCAACAAAATTCCTTCACCAGGATGACGGAGAATCCAATCGCAAGGATTCATAGAGACCACCCATATCCCTGCCTCGAACTATATGAAGTCAGAACAACACCAAGGATGACATGAGATCGTACTTAGCTTTCATAAATCCACTAGCGCGAGTTTTTCGATCATTATACATGCTGGTGATGAGAAGGCGGTGAGCTTTACTCAGCTGCTGATATCGGTGATCATTACGAACATCCATGTCTGCACTAATGGTGATCCAATATTCTCGGCGCCACTTGTACATGACATTCAGAATGCGAGGCAACGCTGCGTAAAATTCCTCTTCAAACATCTCGCGCGGGAATAAAACCAAAACCTTGATACGGTTCTCCCACATGTCCTCCCAAGGTGTTGTCAGCAGCAGAGCCAGGTAGTCGAATACGTCAAAGCGCGCGTACAGGGCCCCAATAACATGGCGAGAAGCCTTATAGTCAGGGAACCCGAACGTCTGCTGTGGATACTTCTGAACCACGATGCCGTAAACCCACCGACTAGTCTTGTTTGTGACAGGTTCAACTACTTTGTCACTGTCCTGAAGGGGTTTGAGATGGATGGAGACACGCTTGAGAACAGGAGAGGTCTGAGAATTGGCTCGGGCTTTCTTGGGTTTGCGCGGAGGAGACGAAGCTTTGCGAGAACGTTTCTTTTAGTTGCTCACATGACTGGAAGGAGTCATCTTTCGAGGCTTAGCAGAGTCCCACTGTCATCGTCGGCCGACTCATCTTCCTCATCATCACTACTGAGTCCGTGAGTCGAATGTTCCACCTCGTCATCCTGAATTGTGGCTGGGAACACCGGTATGGGTCCCAGGGTGGTGGTGCTGAAGCGAGACGAACCTCACAAATACTCGTCAAAAAGCGTTATCCGGGTATTCTTCAGGTACCGACTGTATCCAAGGTGTGGAATTCGGCTGCCGCCAGTAAGTGGCAGAACGTAACATGTGACGGAGAGCCGAGAATGCAGTATTGTCCCTCGCCCAGCCAATTTCACAGCATCCCAGAATGTAGCACCTCCAAGGACCAATTCTTTGACGTCAGCACGAGTATGTTTCCACGGCAATGGGATAGGAATCAGCTGTCTGGCGTCAGAGACTAGAATAGTAGACGTGACCGATTCAGAGCCTTGACCAAGTTCGGGTGATACTTGTCAGTCTGACCCTTCAACTCCAGCCGTTTCAAGAAGGACAGTATCTTGGGAACAACTAGTTCCCCACCGGGTCAAGACTGGGAATGTGGAGTGTCTGAAGAATATTATGCCAGATCAATGACACCACTAGGAAATACACTTTTGCCCTCCAACTCTGAAGCTGTGGTCGCACTTGGAGAATAAGAGAGATCCGTAAGCTTCTGAACCTCCTTCTTTTTGCGCAGACGTTACATTTGCCTTCGATATGCTCTGATCTAGCTGCGAGAGTGTTTGAGCTCCAGCATGCCCCGAGGAAGCTGAGAGAGACTTTGGTGCTGTGGAAGACTGGCGGAGAGGTTGATATGGAGCACAGTCGTCGCTGGGCAAGTCCCGGGCTTGTATTGCCGTAGAGGTAACCATTCTGGAATCCATACAATTCCCAGCTGAATAAGAACTGATCACCTCATAAAGCCGAGGCCAATAGCCGACGAAACTGCAGTTTTCCCATGATGAAATTCCAAAGCCCTTCTGGAGAAAGTGGCCGAACAGCAACCAACTGAGCCTCAGTAGTGCCTGCTCAATATTTCTCGAGTCCCATGGATTTAAGGACATCCTCATCATCTTCGGCATGGTGGGTACATGCATCTTTACTCTCTTTGAGCTGTCTACTCAATTCTGTGACTTGAGAATTCAAAGAGGCAACCTTGGATATAGCTGGTTATAGTTCTTGTTGAGTTTGACCCGAGCCACGCCTCGCAGTGAGTTGCATCTTTAAGAAACGGCTCTCTGCTGCGTGAACGGCTCTGGCCTGATGGAGCAAGCCCTCCAATCGTGAAATTTGGGCATTGAGCCCGGTATTCTGGGCTACCACTTGAACTGACGGATTGGAAGATTGAGGCTGGTTCAGTCGATTCATGTCAAACGCAGATATCGCAATGTTGAAACAACTCTTAGGCCGAAACAATCGGCACCAAAACTGCGTAGCAGTGGATACGCTTCACGGTCAATCGGGGCCTTGATTTGGGGACCCTGGAGATCAGATGGAGGCCATAGACATTGCTGGAATTGCAACAGCATCTCTAAGGTCACAGGTTTGCGTGCAAAGCTAGCTAGGAGACAGAAGTCAGCATGTGAAAATTCTGGAACTCCGACCACACGCATGAGCCCTACTGGCGTCCGCTCCAATTGACCATGATCCGTGATGTCGTGTAGCGAAGCTGGCACACGTATCTGAGTCGGCATCGCTGTAGCCAGAGTGCGAGTGATGCGCGGGTCATCAGAGGTCGCGCCACCAGGAGTACGATTGTATGGAAGAATGGATGTTACAGGGGCAGACATTCCCCACTGATAACACCGGGAGTTGGGAGTGTCAACATTGGTGTCACCCTGGCGGAATTAGCGTAAGTTGGTGGCACCATCGCCGACATCACCCTGTTCAAATTGGCGGGGGTTGGTGGTGCTGACGACTGTAATATCGCTCCTGCCACTGTGGACGGCGATCTAGGAGCTGAGTACTCGTGGGTGACGACGTGGACATAGTGGTAGTCGTGGCTGCGATTTTTGTGTGTGTGAGACTGCTGGTGGTAGGGACCAAAGCGGTAACTGTTGATACCGAGGTCGCCCCGATACTAGAGACCTCTAGATGTGGGGACAAGGTGGCTTGAAGGGAGTTCTCAACCATGACGACACGCGGACAGAAGCGACCGAAGTGACGAACTAATCGCGGAACGTGAGTTGGAATTTAGCGACTCGGAAAATGAGTGGAACCTAGGCTCGAAATATGAGAGAGTTTACGTCTGGGACGAGGGGTTGTCTTGAAGGTCGACAACCAACCGTTATGTGTCTCGAGACCCAACTCGAGAATGAACTCGTTGGGATCGTGCACATAAGGGACGTTTGTGATGGATTGGATCCCAGAAAATTAGTTCGGACATCACCGGTTGCCTGACGTACCCCAAGACAGCTGACTCCTCTGTCCTATCTAGGACTTATCATGAGACAGAAAAAGTTCATCCCAGCGGAGATGGTGGCTGAATTTCAAAGTGCGAGGGAAGTGGAAGATGTGAACAGACTAATAGCTGATAGGTTCGCCATCACAAATAAAGGAATACGACTTTGTGGGGAAATTTCTTGACTATGGACATGTGTGTTCAGACTACTCGACTCTTTGTTGGGGACGTTAGTCTATTCTGAAGGTTACAAGTATCATGGTTGTTCGTTGTGGCAAGTTCTGGGTTTCCATCGGAGAAAACCTGGTACTATTCTCCGACTATCCATACAATTCTCAGACTGGAGTTTGACAAAACGGAAAGTCAAGTGATGATGTGTCCAAGGATATGGTGATGGATGATTCAGAATATCAGTGAGGAGTGTTCAAGCTGTCGTTGACCTTTGAAT